GGCCCTAACGTCTGTGGGAGCGACCTTCTGCTACCTGCTCTCTGCCGCGTTCGGAAAGCAGTTCGTCGTCCACTACTTTCCTGATAAAGTGGCTCTGCTGCAAAGAAAGGTAAGCAGACACCCGGAATGCCCCCTGGGAGAGCTGCCTTTTGGGTTGGCTTAGCAAAAAAAATGAATACGTGTAGGGGATGCATCGGGCCTCCTCTGACACAATCTAGGAGCAGACTGCTCTCTTGGGAGCAAGCCTGTTTGCAAAGGGGGTGCGTGGAAAATCCCAGATCCCAAGGAAAATCAGAAGTAAGATAATGGATTGATTGGGAAGCTGCTGTGCTCCAGAACTGCCTCCACCCATCCTGTGCCGCGTGGTACAGTTGGAGGTGGTTCTGCTGTTCGCTTCTGATCTCTCATTCAGGTTAGATCCCATTTTCACGGCTTGCATGGAAGGGGCTGGCTCACCATTAGGCTCCCATACATACGTAAAGTTGCGGCTTTTCATCAGTTCAGTTATGTTGTGGCATGTTAGAAGAAAACTTAAACTCACTTTAGTATCGTGGACATTCGGATGTTACTGCTGTCTGAAGAGCAGAAATAATTTGGAATATTTCTCTTGGCAGGTAGAAGAGAACAGGAGCTGCTTATTTTTCTTCCTGTTGTTCCTGAGGCTGTTCCCCATGACACCAAACTGGTTTCTGAATCTCTCAGCTCCCATTTTAAACATCCCTGTGTCCCAGTTCTTCTTCTCCGTTCTCATCGGTAAGGCCTGGGGAGTGTGACATTGCCTCTCTCCTCATCACAGAGCCTTGGGTAGGATGCCGAGCTGGGGAAGGCAGAGCGGCAGGGTCATAGCTGTCACTCTGCCCTATTTAACTTTTTGCCTTCGTGCTGCCCTTATACTCAGAGGTCTCAGAGCATTTTGCAAATATGCGTGCGTCACCAACCAAAGTTTTGAATTGTACCCCGTTCTTTCCGTTACGAACACAGACCTGTGTCTGCGTCTGGCCTTGGGCAAGGGCATATCTGAGGTAATTTTACATGGGGGGGATGCTAACAGGCTGCTTTTCTGCTCTGATTCTTTCAGGTCTTACACCATATAATTTCATCTGTGTGCAGACAGGAGCCATTCTGTCACAAATCACCTCTTTGGATGCCATTTTCTCCTGGGACACGCTGCTCAAACTGCTTGCGATGGCTGTGGTAGCATTGATACCAGGGACCCTCATCAAGAAATACAGCAAGAAGCACTTGAAGCTGGATGAAAACAAGCATGCTCAGTTACTCAATGGCAAAAAGAGCTTGTGATGGCTCAGGTGCCCCAGATGTTGGGGGACTGCCTCGCAAAAGCTGCAGGTCTCTGTTCCTGTAGGTTATATTCTGCATGCTCTGTGCCACCATGGACCAAGGACAATTGCAGTTTTTAATCGTTCTTCTCGTCTAAGAGGAGGTGTAAGGTTCTTACTTTTAATGAATGTTTAACTGTGCATGTATCTGCACGGAGAGCACTATACAGGGGCTTTGTGAACACTTCAGTTCATTTGCCTGTTTCCTTTAAATCAGCCTGTGTCCCCAGTGTTGCCAGGCCACTGCAAATGCATTAGCAATGGCAAAAAAAATCAGGAGTATTAGCATCCCGTGAGGAAGGCAAATCAGAACCCCTTAGGCCCTCCCAGCTCTTCAACACGGGGCCCAAGCACCGCGCTCCTGCTCAGCTGCAATACCAAAAGCCTTGGCTATTTTTCACTACCACTCTAGTAGCAGCATTTCCCAGCTCTAGGCAGGTCCTACTCCATCCTCTCCAAACCCATACTTACTTAGCATTTTTGGCCTAAAGTGACGAACCATGCGCTTCTGTGCTGTTAGGTGCAGTAGTCCAAGTACCAACTTGAGTAAAAAGTAATGATGTTTCAGGGTCCCTGCACCTTCTGCAGCAGAGCTTGCACAGTTGTAGAAGACTCTTCCTCTGTCATTCAGATGTTCAGTAAGCGCACCCTCCAGCAAAGTTGTTCAGGATTTGGGGCCAGCTATGAGCTGCCTGTATGTATCATTCATATGTCAGAACACAAAAGATTGCTTCTGAGGTCTGTCAGTGGCTGCTGCTCCCCACAAAGATTAAAGGGGAAAAAAAAAAGGAATAGATGTGCCTGGCTGGCAGTGATTTGTCCTTGAGAAGCACCTTTAAACCTACACATTTGCTCATGTATAACTAGAAGGTTTCCAAATTAGCAGGTAGGCTCTGTCCCAGTTGCTGGAGAACAGTAGCCTCCAGGGATAAGAATATGCTCCTGGGTTTTTGGTATTTGCACCTCCTTGCTCTACTCTCCATGAGTTTGCCCTCCACTCAGAGGATAAAGTAAACTTTCTGGCATGGAAGGGGGCTGATGGGAGACCCTGGAGCACTCGGGAAGCTGACAGAGTGAATCCTTCATCCATTTTACCTTCCCCACCAGCAGGGTAGGAACTGAGTAGGACAGCAAGGTTCCCAGGATGAGAAGTCATGGTCGCAAACATCATGTTAGTTATTAAAAGGCTTCATTACATTATCCCAAAGTACATGAGAAACCATTCCCAGATCACCAGACCAGCCTGAGAAGCATTGAAGTACACTGGCTTTTTATTCCATGCATTGTTTGCTTTGATAGTCATTCTTGTTTCCATCACTGTACACTGTTCAATACAAAAAAAATCAAGTTTGTATCAGGAATCCGCAGAGCAGGGAGGAGAGAGATGAACACTACTGGACAGGGCCAAGATGAAATGGTTACTTAACACGACAGTGGGGAAGGCAACATTCAGCTCTGGGAGAAAATCTAGGCTAGTGTTCAGGAGCTGTCAGGAGCCATGAGAACTGCATCAGGGCAGTCAGGATGCTGAAGGGAACCCACGGTTTACTTCTGTCCTGCAAATGCGGTGTTACTGCGAGGAGGAAGCAGGCTGATTTATGCCTCTCAGCCCCATACCCTGCTAGGAAAGAAAGTGCAAGGAACCGCAGCAGAGGTTCCCATACAGCAACGTGGAGATCACGTCCATGTGCAATTCTGGGTAGGTTTCACTAAGGAAAATGCCTATATAACCCCCTGCAGAACTGGCAGCAACCGTCCTAGGAATGCAAGGGGCTGCTGAGCCACCCCTGCCCACACACTGCCGAGGGCACGAGATGAGTGTGCAGGGGGAGGCTGGGATTACACCTCCGCAGGTTACGCATTTAGGCAAGGGGGAGCAGCCCTACGGCAGTCCCAGAGGGACGCTGCATGTAGGCAGCAGTTACGAGGAGCGACGCTGGACTGTAACAGTGCAATGACCCGGGCATGTAAAGAAACTAGAGCCAAGTGTGTCAGCAGACAACCTGAAGGGTTCAACTCTGCTTTCTCCAGGCTGCAGAATGGGCCAGCGTGTCCTCGGGCAAGGACGGGGAGGAATCGGCACACGCCTGGGACAGCTGGCCCAGAAGGGTCCCAAAATCCCACACATCAAAGCTTCTATGCTTCTCTGCAAGCCCAGAGGAGCTTCACCACATAGTGGAGGAGCTCTAAGCAGACCACAGCTACCAAAACCCCTCTGGGATCTTTTTGTTAGGGACTGAATCATCACAGACTGAAGTCCCTGCACGGAGACTCGGACGGGCCTGAGCTGGAGGCAGCTCTGCTTTAGCCCTACTGCTGTAGGGCTGCCCTACGGCACCAGTGCTGCCCACAGGCAGCGGGTACCACAGGGCCATGGACTGGGTTGACATCGGGCTGCCCGCAGGCAGCCAACAGGCCCTGCCTGTTGGAGCTCAGGAAGCCTGCCAGATCTGAGTGGCAGAGTCTCTCCAGAGGCGTAAAGCCTGGCATCCTCTGCTGCGGGGGACATTTGATGGTAGTTCTCAACCTCTCTTTATGCAATAGTTTGGTCTTCCTCTTTGTGTGCACACAGCTCTCCACTGCTAAATGCCTGCATCCCAGCCTCCAGCCTCCTGAGTGACCATCTGCACCACCTCCTTCCACACCAAGACCCCTCTCACACCACGATAGCGAAGCCATCTCTGGCCCTACCACCTCCTCCTGCCACTGGCCGAGAGACAGAGAACATCTGGGAGGAGGAATGAGGGATGGGAAGAGAGAGGAAACAAGAAACAAGCCAGAAAAGAGCTTCGCTCCCCCCCGCATTCTGCCTCCACCCAGAGCTAAGTATTGCTGCTGCAGGCAGGGGCGAGCTGGTCGCTCCCTCTCCTCTCCAGCAGCCTGTTTGGTCCTGCACGGGTGATCCACCATGTGGATCCACTGCTGTCCACACCTGATCTCGTACCCGCTGCCCGGAGCCATTGCCTTCCTCTCCGTTTGTCCTTTTGGATGCTCTTGCCAGGGGATCTTGTGATGGTTATTCACTTTGTGATCAATCCAAAAGCCACTCGCTCCCTGATCACCATTCCCCACCAGCTTGGGGGCTGCCAACTCTACTGGCAACACGAGCAAATTGCAGCATCGACCACGAGGAGTATCACAGGGCCCAGGGAGCTGACTGCATCCATCCCTCTTGGACCAGCCTTGACAGGTTCTCTGCCCCGGTGTAACAGCATCCTTGGAAATCACAAGAGGCGGCAGCTACTGACAGCCACTGAGACCAGCTCTGCTCCCATCCCCCCCAGCAACCAGGGAGAAGGTAACATCACACAAACAGATTACAATTGTGCTAGCGGTGAAGCCAACCTTCTGATCGACAGAAATGATAATAAATAATAAAATAACATCATAACTTAAGATCTGTGTGTAGTCCAGCTACAAAAATTTAAAAATATGGGATAATTTAACTCATACAATACTGCTCTCTGTATAAGTAAGACATTTTCCTTCATTTTGCCATGAGGCTATAAATTACCACAGTTAAATTCAAACCAATATTTTAACATAAAATGTAAACAAACAAAGCAACAGAAGTACCTGTCCATGGTCCATTCCTGCCATTCATCTCAGGCTGGTGTGCCAGTCTGCAGAGCAGCACCCAGCAGCGTGGCCGTGCACCAGACACGCATGGCACAGCCGCGCCAGCCAGCACGCTAGGAAGGGCAGAGTGAAAGCTCTTGCAGGGGGACATCAGCTAAGGTGGGGGGGGAACGTGCTCTATCGTTTTGTTCTCTTTAAATATTGATTTAGAAGAGTAGTGTTTGAAGGGAAGGCACTATGAGTTCTATCAGAAAACAAATTTTTCTCATCTGCCAATGCACATACCAGTACTATCCTCACTTTCACCTGCAGAGTTTCAGCTTGAAGGAGAAACAGAAGCCTCAGGGTACACCTGAGACACAGCTGTGCCACAGCCACCATCAAGATTCCCTGTGCAACTTGTTTTGCACAAAGCCTGACATGAAGGGCAGGCAGCTGTTAATGCTTTCAAGAATGTACAGTGAATAAGGAGACAGAGCAGGGCTGATGCTCTTATCTAGGCCAGTGATTCCCAGTCTTCCCCCTCAACACACAGCTCTCTGCTGGTTATCGATGCTGTTGTAGGTGAGAGACTGCTTCTCCAAGTCCAGTACAGGCATCTCCAGTTTCCTCCCCAGAAGAATGCTGAGGCTCTGCAGAATGTGCTTTCCACGGTTTGCAAGTTCTTGCTTTTCCAACACTGATTTGATTGATTTCTTTGACTGACTGAAACAGACAGGAGGTAAGAGGAGGAAGTAAACTGGGAAATGGCACACTGCATCTGAAAGAGGTTTCCCTGCTCAACTGGAGATCGACACTGCCAGAGTGAAGCAAGGACGATGTTAAGAAGTGCTCTTATACCAATTCTCGAGAGGACGAGGTTAGAATACATTTGCAGGATCTCACAACAAAATGCTGATTAAAAAAAGAAACTAAAAATCCTTAAAATAAAACCCACTATTACATTCCTGGGGATGTATCGACTCAGAAGACCCTGGATGTTAGCACCTCAGTACCAATTTTCTCCAGGAACATGTCCACCTTCTGATTAAAAATGACCCAGCTGGTTATACTGAATACGCTTTGTTCACAGGTTACCCTATAGTAAGGTCTTTTTATGCTTCCTCATTTGATAAGACTGAGTGGTTTAGTTTTCTTGATCTGTTCTCCATTCTTCAGGGCCACGAGGCCTGGTCCCCTGTGAAAGCAGCAAGAGAATCCCCCCGTGTTTGTACACAAAGCTGTCCAGGCAGGACTCCCAGGATGTTCTCTGTAGTGTGCTTGCTTTCTGAACTTTTTTTTTTGCAACAAGTCTGTGTGTCTATAAATACAATCCACTCTTTACAGTAAAAAGTGTTAAAATGTCAAAAAAATAAATATCCATGTTACAGTAACTAGATTATTCAATAAAATACATCCCTGCCATTCTTGATTGAAATGCTCAAAGAGAATTAATTTCATTTGGACATTTTCCAGAGATTCAGGTTATTGCAAATCACTCCTGGGGTGGGAAGGAGAAGCATCTTCTCTTCCTGTAAAGTGTGATGGAGGGGAATGAAGTGGAATCTCAGGGAAATCAAAATGCCAGTATCAGGAAGCTTTGGGGGAGATCTGTATTACCAAGTAGCAGAGCTGCAGGGCTTATTGGTCCTGACTGTGGCATCAGAACACTCCCCTTCAGAAGAGTCACAGTCTGATTCTCCAAACTGTGCTGGGTTCTGCAAAGCAAAAGGACAGGGAAGATGTGAGCAACATTCCTGCACTGTAGATCAACCACACCATCCCAATCTGTAACAGCAGACAGGCAAAGGTTACCACCAGCAGAGAAGGAGAGATTGGCAGCACACAGGAGAGATCAAGAGCACACAATCGCCCTACCAAAGGTCACTTGTCTCCCCTCAATGAGGGGACAGCAGAAAAATATCTGGTCAGAGCACTATCAAACACAGACGGAGTTATGAGAAGATGGTGCAGCAGGCTCTGCCCTACCCCTCCCAAACACTTGAAAGACAGTAAAAGGAAGAAAATGATTCTAGCTTCGTCAGCAAGGCTGCCAATGGATAAGTTTGAGGCAGATAGTTTATATCCCTTCCGTTTCATTATCTGCTTTATGTGCTATTTTTTATCCCACTTAATGCAACTGCAAATCTGAGAGCCTCCCAATATCACACTCATCTTGACCAGCAAATTATGTTCAGCTTTGTTCGTGCTACTTTCCCCCGTCTACTCATCTGGCCAAGTATGAGAAAGACTGGGTATTTAAGCAGTTGCTTTGCTGTAGGACATCTACCACAGCATTTCCTAGGCAGTCATCCTTTTTCATTTCTGACCCTTGGATTCCTTTCCATAACTTTTTTTTTTTTTTTTACTCAATAGAAGGAAGGGGGGATTGCTAACCTTACAACTCACCTCACAGCTGTGTTCATCTGCACAAAGTTTGCCCAGAGACATCTGAGTCTTGACTCTTCGCACAGCACACTCTTTGTCTGAAAGCCCATCAGACTGGGTGGAGATTTCAATGGGGATCTCTGGAGTCTGGGACAACATGTCCTCCAGCTTCTCAGCCAGCTCATCTTCCAGCTTGGTGGCCAGCTCATCTGGGCTGTTCGAATGATCGCTTGTGTTCCCCTCCTCTCCATCTGACACAGAGAAGTTCTCCGAGCTGAAGGTTGAGTAGGACTGGCAGCTACTAATGCAGCGGTGAGGTCTGCAAACCAGGAAAAAAAATCCCTCTGATTGCAGAGGAAAAGCAATTTCCTGGGTGCTGTGTTCGGCTACCCTGCTACAACTGGCTTCAACAGACCCCACTCCTGGTGCCCACTCAGCCCTGGGTGAGCCTGTCCCCAGGAGCCCGCTGCCAGCTAGAAAAGTTACAGCTTTTCAGTGGACAGGTTTCTGCGCACGCTCTCACTGCACAGAGTAAGAATGAGCTGGAGAGCCAGCGCAGCGCAGGAAATCTGTTTCTGACGTGTAGCAAGGGTACCAGCTTTCTTTCGAGACATATATCGCAATCAAAACCCTCACAACGTTAGTAGTGCAGTGAATGCAGAGTGGCTGCTACATCCTTACACAGGTTCCCCTGGCAAATCTCTCATCTTCCTTTCTGAAGCATGCAATGCAGAGCAGATTTTTGCACCTCTACTTTTAACTGGCATCTTCAGCACAACAAGAACAGGGCTTACTCACTGTAACAGACAGCCCAGGCTGCTCAATCGTGTTCTCCCTAGCAGATACCGCTCAGGCACAGTGCACTCAATACTGCTTGGTCGCTTCTCCACACTGGGCTAAGGGCTTGATCCTTCCAAAAATGTCTTTGAGCAAAACAGGTCCTATCCCTAGAAAAGGCTTTACACCAACTCTCCAAGAGCCTCTTCCCACCCGAAGAACACACCTCCAGCTGAGTCATAACTGATCTGCAAGGCTGGCAGCAAGAGCTCTGCAAAGTGTTGGGCTGCCTTTCACATCTTGGAGCTATGGAAATCTACCACCTTTTGAATGATTTAGTTCAAGATCTGCATCTTTAAATTCATCTGTTCTTATTTGGTCTTGTCTGCTACATGTTCATAGCAGCTGATCTGCCCTGGAGCATATTTTTCTTTATCAGTCCTTTTTCCTAAAGAAAGGCTGTACTGTAGGGTTCAAGCTAATTCAACTGGGAATATCTGCATCAACTGGCAGTGATCCCAACAGCCAGGCTCGAATTTAGGTATGTGCGTTCAAAAAATAAGCTCACAGTTACTTGAATGTGGAAATCACCTCATGCCAGGATTCAACAGTAATGGTACAAAATATCAGTTGACTGAACATGGCAGGAGACCCATAACAGGTCATCACATTGAATTCAGGAAAGGCAATTTGTCTTCCAAGTTAGTAAATCACAGAAGAAGCAACAATCACACAAGAACCGTATGAGTCAGAAAACTCATCGAGCCCAGCGTTCTGTCTCCAACCCTAGGCAGGGAAGAGATAATCTGGGAGAAGTATGAGAACAGGGTATGCACACAGAGCCTGCCTTCTCCTGGTGTATCTTCCTGGTTTGTACCATTCAGTAAATCAGACTTCTGAGCTGAAGATCAAACCTGGATGACAATGCTTAACAGCCATTGATGGATCTACACGCCATATATTTAACTTATGACTTGTTTATGTTTTGATTTCCACAGCATCCTTGACAAGGAGCTCCACATCTGAAAATATTTTGGATGGAAAAAGCACTCACTTCTGTCCATTTTAAACCCCCTGTTTGCTTCACTAGGTGTCCGTAACATGAATGTGAAGAATCATTCCTTGTCTATTTTCTCCACACAAATCACAATTTCATGCACCTCCAGTATCGCCTCTCCCCTGCTAGACAAACCTTCCTCATGGATTTCATCTCTTCTTCTACGGAAACCATCTCTAACCATTCTTGTCACACTTCTCAGTACCTTTTCAAATTTTACCATGGTCTTTGAGCTGGAGCAATGAAGGTGGCATTTAGGATTCAAGCTGCAGGTGTGCCATGGATGTATACAACAGCAGATAAGCTTTTATTTTCTTCTCTGCTCCTTTCCTAAGGACCCTTAACCTATTTGCCCACTGGAGATCACTTCTGCACTTCAAGCAGCTGCTTTCATAAAACTACTGCACCAATGCCATGATCTCTTTCCTGAGCACAGGACTGTAAAGCCCGCTATTACATATGCTTAGGTAGGAATGCCCCCTCAAATCTCTTATTTTACATGCAACACCACCAAATTTGATCTGCTGTTTTGTCACCTAGCTCTTCAATCCTACTTAAATTCAACTACGAAGATGCTGGAGTCAGCCCCACTGCAGCAACAGTTAATAAACGACATTTGAAAGAGTTCCAGTAAGTCTGATTCTGGTGAAACAGATGCAGCACTTATTTTTATAGGCTGAATAATGTTACCAAGTGTGATCAAGTTGTGCTACAAACAGCCTGCAGCAGAAAAGCTGTGCTGGAGAAAACATCTCAGAACAGGCTGAAAACAGCAAGCGAACATGGAGGATCACTGAGGGCAGATGGGACGCACTGAATGCGATTCTGTTCTTTTGCCAGCACCTTCCACAGTTTCAATGCTGGTGTGCAGCTGCTATGACAGTTCTCCTCCTGAGTTTTGTCCCACCAAAGAGAGATTAGAGTGAATTCACCTTTTACCTTTGTCTACGAGGAAACTCCACTTCACTGTCTACTTCGCCCTCTTCCTCTTCTGAAGAGTCATCACCGCTCTGGCAGAAAACAAGGACAAGAATGATACCACATTTGTGAAGGAACAAACAAGCAACTACATGGCTGCCCCTTGGCCCTCCAGGACAAAGTCACTGTGTCAACGGGCTGCAACAATCAAAAAAATAACTTGCCTATCAGTGAAAACTGACTCAGACGTCTTCTCACCATGAGATTATTTCAGGCAGTCTTAATGCTGGCATTTCTGAATTTGGAGTGATTGACTTTGAAATACACTGGAGTACTTTAGCAGGCAATGAGTACATAACGTTCCGGATTTTTACAGAAGCAAATCAAGTCATTAGTATCACACAAAAATCCACATAAATTATTGAGCTGATTTGGCACTCTTGGCTTTACAACTTCGACCCTCTTCTACATAAGCCCATCACAGAGCAGGATGGGGGATGACACAGCCTTTGCTGGTGGGTTTCACCAACTAGGAAAACTTAAGTTTTGTTTCATTCTCTACCTCAGTGAGCACAGAGCCTTTTATTCTCCTTTTCACATAAAAATCCGCCCCCTGCACTCTTGGTTTTTACAGCCTCCTTCCATCCTATCCAACCTGCCAACCCCTGGTTCAGACTCAGCCTTTATCTCATCCCCTTCCCTTGTAATATGAGGTCCTCCTCCTGCCTTCATTCTGGCCCCACGCTCTTGGTCTGGTACTCATCCTCTTTTCCTTCACTTTTCCACTCAGGCCCAGTTTTCCTGCTCTTTGAACTCCACTCAGACTGGTTTCTACTTCTCTCACAACCTGGATGGAAGCAGGAGGAATGAAGAACAACCGTTTCTGTACAACCGTGCCGTAACATCTTTCTGACTGTTGCAAAATCTTCACAGAATACATGAGAACTATGTCGTTTGGTCAAGGGGGACAGTTTCTGGCAGGTGCAGCAAAAAGCATGTCCCCAAGACCATGGCAAATGTCGAATTTCTGTTCCGAGGCACAGTAGCGCTACAGATTCTCAGTGAAACTGATACATGATATTTAACATCACCAAAAGAATGCATTTACGCCTTCCTTTGTTTTGAGAAAGGTTTGAAAACACTGAGACTGTTTCAACAACAAAAAATGCAGTGCACCAAGTTTCAGCTCAAACAAAAACTGGCTAAACTGCAAGTAACAGAACTAGGCCCTACCAAAACCGCATTTGATAACCCTCATTATTAGCAGTATGCCCTGATATGCCTACAGTACTTCTCAATAAAATTGATTTTAAAAGTATGTCCAGATCACAAAGCAAAGTTCAGATGGGCACGATCTCTTTAAGATGAAGTTGTAAATACTGCTATGTGCATGGGAAACACGGCTTTGCTACTCTTCTATATCCAGACACTAGCCTATGCTACACACCTTCTTTTGGTAGAAAGGGAAAAGAGAAGCAAGCTTTGGTTTTTTCCAAATCACTATGCTTTGTCCTTACCTTTTGAAGGGGTCTTGCTTTGCAAGGTAGCACTGAGGAAGCCATGTGCTGAGGAGTGCCTAGGGCGGACGCTGACTTACAGTTGCTGAAGCCCTCTTCCTCCATCTTCTCAATGAACTGTGCATTTTCGTATAGGGAAGCAGATGTTGGTGACTGAGAATGGCTCATCCCTGTTTCAACAGATGACATCTGTACCTGACCACTGTCCTCTTCCCTGCACTGAAGACAGGAATTATATGGATCTGTTTTGCAACACTCCCAATGATCAGCTTTGCTTTCTTTGCTCTCCAGATTCCTTCGGCAATCTGCTTCCATGGCAGCGGAGATGAGATCGGGGCTGGAACCAGACATCCGCCTTTGCGCGTGGTTACTGAGAGGGCTCCGCAGCGCTGCTGCGGGGCCAAAGTACCTTAAGTTGTTTGCGCAGTTGGCAATATCTTGTCCGTGGGCATGAAGCCGTGAGTGATGGCCATGGGGATGGCTGTGGCCATGTTGCTGCGGTAGGCCGGGATGATGAGAATGATTATGAGGTGGAGGTGGGGGTGCATCATCTTGCACTGGCTGGTTTTTCAAGATCCCTGCAAAATCATTGTAGCTGCCTTTGCTGTTCCCTCGGCGGTGACGTGGCTTACTGCGGTAGCGGCTTTTGCCACTCAGTGTTGACATTTTGGGACTTCCTGAGACTGGCGAGCCATTGGATGCTGCTTCTGTGCTGGGTATGCCCTCTGACTTCAGTAGATCTGGCCTGAGAGACAGTCAGCAGAAGTTACACATTAAACCACAAACTAAGAAATGACATCCGCTCACAGCCAGGATGAAGAGGCAGCTATAGCCATGTGCACACTCTGCTTTTTAAAATCTACAGGCTTCCCTCCCCTTCAGCTGTTTGACTTCTGCATTTAGTTTCCTTTGATTCTCTCCATTCAATGTCCTTTCTGTTCAGCCCATCATGCTCTATACTCCTTTCTTGCTGCTTTTTCCAGTACCTGCCACATACTCTCCTTTTTCCGCTCTTATTTTGATATTCTGCTCCCAAAATAGCTGCCTCCTAAGATGTTGGTCTAGGGCATGCCTCATACTATGTGCATATACAATGCTCAGCACAATAGGGTCCCAATCTGCTGATAGTTATCAGCCTGCTCATTTCAGAAGCACATGTGGATATTAATTCAGAAGTGATTATTCAGTGTTAGTCAGGACTCTCTAACTCCTGGAAATCCCAGAAAAGGGAAGAATAAAATAGACAACTCCTCCAAAAAAAAAAATCTCACTTTCTGAAAGACATGCAGAAGAGAAATAGCTGAAAGGACAGTATGAATTCCCAAATCTCAAATCCCAATTTAATTCCTCAACAATGAATCCATCCTCTCAGAGGGCTAGCTGATTTCTGCAATCCCTCACCCTGCTTACTACCATTCCAGTCAAGGATGATCTAACTGCTCTTTGCTTGGACAGTTAGGAATTTGAGACAACACACCGGACACCTCCTGTTAAAACACCATCATCTGTGAAAAAATCATATGGACCAAACGGTTCCAGAGAGCTGCCCAGATAGAAGGAATGGCAGGATACATCCCTTTTACCTTAAGATAATTAAACAATTGTGGCTCTGAGGATCAGACCAGGCCCAGGAGTTAACACCCCTTTGGCCTGTCCTGTGTTGCGTTCAGACTCAAAGGGAAGTAAGCTGCCTGCTCATCTCAACGGGGATCCACCACTGGTTCCTGGCACAGAACTAGGTTGTTACTTCTTACCGTTTAGTCTGGCTGCCTGGTTTATGGGAGACCCCTTTCCTCTTCATCAGCTTCTCCACTGTATTGGGGTGGATTATTGGTCTGACTGGGTGGCGTTTGTAAGTCCCAGGGTATTTCTTTTCCACTGCTTGTTCCCTCCTGAAACATTGGGGAAAGAAAAAAAAAAAACCACACCACAACAGATCAGTTCTCTCTTTATCCAACTGCAGCTCCCGCTGGACAGAAACACAGCTCCACCACGAGCACACTGCATGCCTGTTTCTCAGCTATGGCTGGGTGCAACACAACATGCTGTTCTGGGAAAGGACACAGTCATTTTCTAAATTCTCTCTGCAGAGACCAGGCAGTTGGAACAGGGCCCTGGCGCATAGTCCCAAAACAGCACTGCTTTTCTCTTTACAAAGGGGCCAAAGGATGCCAACACCAAACGGGAAAGGTGCCTTTCTCCCAGTCAGTAAACACTGGGTAAAGATATGTGCACTAAGTGGTCTGCAATAATCTACTCTTAAGGGGCCTCTCAGCTCTTTCTTTACCCTGTAAGTTTGTCAGGGGACACTAAATCTACAAGTACCACTATGCAGTTCAGAAATGAAGCATTGGTTTTTTTCCTCCTCCATGCATATTGCCATGTGCACGGCATGCCATTATGCCCAGAGATACATACTTTATGAGCTCCTTCTCACGGACCTCCAGCTGCAGCATAATAGCACTGAGCTCCATGTATAAGTTATTGGCTCGCTCCAGCTTCCTCTCATAGTGTTCGCGGATATCCAATGCATGTCTGAAAAACAGAAAAATAATTATTCCACAATCTGATGACCATGGACCAAGAGAGAATAAGGAAAAGTACAGGTGCTTTAGGAAAAGGCCTTCTAAAAGTCAAATTTGCCAGCTGTATTGCACTGAACCCCAGATAGAGCTGACAGTGAATGACAATTAAGAGCTTGATACAGCAATGAATCCTGATACGATTTAGAAAGCGTTTAACCATCCTGAAAGAGGGGCAACGCTTCTCACTAGAGAAGCTGCAAACGCCTCACACGCATCCACAAGCCCTTTGACCATGCCCTGATCATCTTGTTTGCACAGAGAAGGGGCTAAGTCAGCTTCTAAAGAAACAGGGAAAGAAGTCATCTGTTTGTATTTCATAAAAAGCAACATGCCCCTACAGCTACAGTATAGTGGCAGAAAACATCTTGAACCACAGCTGAAAGATGTGACCATCGAAAGCTCCCTAGGGCTAGGGAACACTGATCGACAACTACATCAAACTGGCTGAACAAGGTTTCCTTTGGTTTCTCAGGTTTGACATAGAACTGCTACTTAGTGTTTTATGTTTCTCTGTCATAACTGTATTTGCAAATTTGTATCACAGAAGATAACACTTTCCTTTCTAAAATAAACATTCTGCTTTCATTTTTAAGTTGGTCTAATGTTCAAAATGAATTTCAGTGGGCTGATAAATCGGAGTGTGTTTACTTCTCTGGAAATACCTAATCCAAAGAAAGTATCAGGGCAGAGACAGCTCACAGCAAACTGCAAGATGCATTTTCCACTGAGATGGATGTACCTGCTTCAGTGCTGTTATCACAAACACCAAAACTCAGGCAGAAATATTCCCTGGTAAACACACAAGCCTTTGCCTGTCTTGCCTGGAGAAAACTGTTCAGACTGCCCAAGAGCAGGGACAGTTTCCACTGTTTCTCTCTCTCTCTAGCTTTCCATCAGCCAAGCAGTGCTCAAGGCCGAGGGCATGCCCGTGGGAGCTTCAGTTTCTGGACTCACAAGGAATTTAGGCTGCCCAAATTTATGCCACCAGGAACACCGAGTGCTGTTTTGGGGTCCTCAGTACAAGAGGAGCATGAAGACAGTCAGGGGCTGGAGCACATGCCCTGTGAAGAGAAGCTGAGGGAGCTGGGCTCAGTTAGCTGGTGAACAGAAAGCTGGATGGGAAAAGTAAGCAGTAAACGTAAAAGACTGTCAACAGACCTCAGCTCCTCTCTTCGACGACGAATCAATTCTTCATCTAGCCGGTGGATACAAGTTCCTTCACTTTTAATTTTCTCAAAATGTTTCTTCACTTCTTCTCTCCATTCAGCCTAGGGAAGCAATTTACTTTCAGGTATTTACAAAGGATTGGGAACCCTGGTTGCACCAAAGAAAAACTCCTGGGCAACATTCTTTGTGTCTGCAAAATTACAGGTTTGGGTTGAAAACATGTTTCTGTTAGCTGAAGTATTTTGGGTAACAACATTGCGGCATGTTTAGTTTCAGCACTTTCAAATGGTATTTCCAATTTTATGCTCCGATTAGATAATTTAAAACATATCTGCATTTTCTAAAAAATATTTTCAGAAATTTCTAAAGCTGTTCTCGTCCTAAGACATATTCTTCCCTTTCGGCATTTAAAGTAAACAGAAAGGCTTATGATTTGGAAACCTATATTCATGACAACGATGACTGTCACTAAGGTGATACGAACTCGATTTACCCCTTGAAGCCCTGGTTCTTGCAGCTTTAATAAATGTACCCACTTCCTTGCATACACCCCAACACTGTGTAGATCCTCTATACTGGAGGCAAGGTTTCATTCTCATTCCCTCCTTGGGAGCAGACAATAGCTTGCTGGGTAGGACTTGGAGGAATCTCTAAGAACATACTTTTAGATCTTCCCTGAAAGTCCCAGAGTCCCTTCACTGCCCTGTAACAGCTCTTTGTCCCACTGGCTGCCTTGCTCATCTTCACTATAAATGCAGCAGTTCCTCTGTCAGCAGTCTCGTGCTCTCCTGTACAACAACACCAGGAGAACAGCTGGGAGCAGAACATCTGAAGTCAGCAGTCTCAGGGAGAAGTGAATGAGACAACATTGAGTTTCTGACTACAGTCAGCAGATGTCTCAGTCTGTGAAAGTTTGGGTAAAAGATTTTCAAATACCCAGCAGTTTGCTTTTCCCCAAGAATCAAACAGAAATCATGGATTTAGACTTCTGCTGTACTTGATGCAGCCTCTGAAATCAGATCCCTGGAGCTAACTCTAGTACCCATGGGCTACAGCCATTCTCCAGTTACCTGTGATTTGAAATAGGTTTCCTGAGGAGTAGCCAGCACGTCAGCAGATGCGATATCCAGGTGCATCAGTGTCTGCCGGAAGGAGGGACGATTCCGGGGCTTGCTCTGCCTGGAGCAAAACAGACAAGTACCCAAGCATGAGATGAGGTTAACATTGCTAGCTACTCCTACCCTTCTGAAAGGGTTTCTCACTAGAACATATTCTCTGAATAGTGTAGCTGACAGATTAGAGCAAAGGAGCTTTTCTGGTTTTCTCCTTTGCTGAATACGAGTTTATCGTGCTAGAGCTGTTTTGTATACAGTTTTTGGTTTGTGATGAACTATTCTGAAGAAACAAAAGAGATGAAAACCATTTAAAATAGGAAAATGTGATTACAAAGTGAAAGATAGGATACAAACTGAAACTGTTCCTAACTTGTTCGTCAAGAAGAAACAGATCTCAGTTTATTATCCCGTTAATTTCCAAATTTTATAACGGGAATAATCAGTCTAGTAGAAATGATAATTTACATTCAACAAAACACCAAACGTATCTATGTTGCCACATAGTAAATGCCTGAGCCTACACGGTATTGTAATGCACTGAACGTCTCTGTAAGATCACATTCAAGTACAAAAACATTTATATTGCTGAGAAAAGAGACAAGCACTCCAGCTTCAGGACTGAACCCACCAGACTTGCTGCATGGATTCAGTGCTCAGGACAAGAAACAGCTTCTTCAGCCACCTCTCCCCTACAAACCACCTACTTCCACCAGGTGGGGATACGAGCGCATTTACCGGGTGTTCATAGCTGCACAAACTGCTTCCTGCCTTCTGCAGCCACGCGTAGAAGCACAGCCAGGCAGTGTCAGCACAGATACTGCAACAGCACGACCTGCTGCAGCTCAGGGTCAGAGCGGGTATACAGCCGCTTGAAAAGATCCATAGATGCTCTGGCCTGTTTCTCCCTTTATGCCATCGAGAGGATGGCTGGTAAAACTTATGGAGTGGAAAATGCTGGAAGGCCACTTACGCTCTGTGTCAAGATGCAATTATAAGGACAAAGCATTAATGCATAACGCAAGACAAAGAATTTCAACTCTAATGAACATGAGCCGGCAGTGTGCCCAG